GCGGCGACACCAGGGGCGGAACCAGCGGCGACACCGGGGGCGGAACTGCCGGCGACACCGGGGGCGGAACCAGCGGCGACACCAGGGGCGGAACCGACGGAGACACCGGTGTCGCCGCCAGGGGACACTGGCAGCACTGGTGGCAGTGGCTACAGTGCTGCATACGTACCTGGTAGTAGGGGTAGGGAGAGGTCGGCTTCGCCAATGGGAGAGGTTGACCAGGTGAAACTACACCAGATACTGAAAGAGCACTACATAAATGCCGTCGGTTACCTCAAACGATATTTGTCAGGGAACCTGGAAACCTCGAAGTCCCTCGATGCCGTGAACATCCAAATCCAGGAAGCTATCATAGCTAAACTCTCCTGGGAACCCAAAATGGCCGAAAAATTCCAAGTTCCCTACACCAAATTGAGCGAAATCATCAATCCACTAGTTGTTCAGCCCCTTCAAAATGACGGTTCAGAAAGAACCGCTGAAGTGTTTGCAAAGAAGCTGGGAGAAAGTAAAATAAACCTTTACCACTTCTGTGTCCATAACAATATTCAACTGGAATGGCTAGACGGTCTACTTGAAGAGGATGTACCAGAGATCGTTTGTCCCCCGAAAATATATAATGAGGATAATACAGATATAAGAAGTTATTGGCCCTATAACTATTTGGCTACAGGACAGTTCGATGTATTATATGAGAAAAAGAAACGGGCCTACAAGGGCGACGCAAGTTCATTCGCTGTACAGGTTCGAGACCCTGATTCAGGAAAATTTCGAGTCGAGATGAGGGCTACTATAGGAAATAACAACCTCGAGAGATGGAGGAGGTTGCCAAACACCTACAAATTCTATGCAGGAGACCGAGATTACAAGAAATCAGTACTAGGCGAGATTGTGTACGTCTATTTCTACACAATGGTACAGCCAAAGACAGGCAGCCCCGAATCAAAGGCCTCTGCTAATACCGACATCTGTGTAAAATTCGAGAACTCTATTATGCCCTTAGCAGTAACCAGGTCCAAAGCTAGCAGCTATCTTCCAGAAGGAGAGTCTATCGATGACATCATCGAGAAGTTGTCCTCTAGAGATGACATATTAGTACCACGCAAACTTCGTGCCAAATCAGTGAAATTTAGCCTTAGCCAAGAAAGAAGAACGATTCCCACTACAACACTCGCTGAGGAGTTATTTAGGCGAAATGAAGCCCAAAGTTCTTTGAGAAATGTTTCAGCCTACTCAAGAGCTTCAGTACCTCCAGAGAGCCCGAAGCAAGCCACAAGCTTCTACTCGCCTTTCTCATCTCGGCGTACGCCGCTCTCTCAGAGCTCGATGGCAACGACAGCTACACTAGCTGATACGCGTGAAATAGAAGATATATATAAGCAAATTGACGCCCTCAGCAAAAGGTTAGACGAAGTGGAGGAAAATGTTGTGACTAAAGAGTATTTAGATGGCAGTATGGCTAAAATAATAGCTCAAATGACGAACTTGTTGGGACTGGAGAAGCGGTCCTAGATTACCGAAGCATTTCCTTACAAACGGTCTAATTTCATTCCTCAATTTTCTTATGCAAATGGCACCTTGCAGCGACGCCGTACTTGGAGGAACAGGAATCCGGAACCTCCCTCAGACAGCAAATTTAACTGCATTCAATAGGATCGGGAGCTGACGGATAACAACGGGCCATCATAAACAAGAAGCTTTGCGAACCGCAGTCACTCATGCCGAATCAGTAAGATAGCCCCTGGTTGCCGAATATGCTCCTTACGCCTTCGTTAGGAAGCCTTGCTTGATGCATATATGCCGTATTAAAACCAGGCTTCTAGCTTGTGATCAGCAGCGCTATTATGTTCGTGATGTTCATCGAGTTGCGTTTGGATGATATGTAGCGTCCCTATTATTTTGTCTTTTTGTAATTCATAGGCGTATAATGTATCTGCAGCATTGTGTTAAGACAGTGTACTTTGAGAACTAGTATAAAAATACTTTTATAAACCACTCTTTCTAGTAGAAAAGTTTACAGAAATTGCCATTTAAAAGTAGGCGGCTTAATAGCTTATCTATCCATGTTAAAGCCTTGGCTTCAGGATGGGCAGGGGGCCGTGGGAGGGATTATCATCCTATGTTTGCCTCTAAAGCCATAAATCGAGAATAACAGTACAAAGTGCTTTGGGAAGTCACTCTTCTATGCTCTGTGTGTGCATAGCTTAGGTCCAATGGTCGCGTGTGTGAAAGCTGCTGTTTTCTTCGAGTTGCAGAACAGCGTCTGTCCGTCAATCCATTTTTTTGATTTGGACAATGGACATTGCCACAAACATGGTACTGAGCTGGACTCGAAGATATGTATGCCGCTTAATTACAACGCGCGATGAAGTTCGGGTACAGTAGTGAGAGTACTTGACAGCCATTGTGGTACTGCATGGGGAGGCTGTATATTAGAAGAGTATTAGGCGTTTAGCTAAATTTCCTCTACAACCCACCAATCTCTCAATGTGACGGCCAGGACGCGCTGTCTCAGAGGAAGCAATTTCGTTCAGCTTCTCCCTGTTAGATTTCGGTCTACTGCAATCTTTCTGAACCATCCGTATCTCTGCCTTGGTCTTCTCAAGCCGTGTTTGTCGTTAGGAGCTAAAAGGGCCATTACCATCATGTGGCTGATTCTCGCAAAAATAAAGTCCTTCTGGCATAAAGTCCTTCTTGTTGTAGTTCAAAGGAAGATCGATTATTCTCCATTATATCTGTAAAACTGACGGTGTATATATGTTGAAGATATGGCGTATAGCTGGTGTATAGCTAACGCCTTTGCAAGCGTGCGGAGGGTTTAACCCCTGAGAATCTCTCCTTCTCCCTGTATCTATTCAGGCAAGGTACTGCTCAATTTACGTCTTGTCTCCTTTCAAATGCCGTCTTCCCCTGAATAACAATATTATACAAGTTAAGCAACGAGTTTTCCTACAATCAATCCGAAATTATACGGAAGTTTGAAGCTCCATATAGACTACCTGGTCGAGCCTCATTTCACAACACTTCTATTAACCCAGGAGGTAAAGGAGCTTCGTGCAGCAAATGAAAAACAAAAGTAAAAGTGTGCAGCTCCTAGAGCTTATGTTACTGTGCTACTGGAGGTGTCCTAACAGGGGCTGAAGGCCAGTTGCTCAAGAAGCTGTACAGATGATGAATTCAGGGGAACCAGTACGTAAAGAACATGCGCTACCACGATGCAGCAATTGTTGTCAAATTGGTCATATTAAAACAAGCGGCCCTAGCAGATAAATAATTTAGTCACTTTTTATTTTAATTTGAGTGTGATAGTAAAATATCTCTTGGTCAGCTGCTGTTAAAATCATGTTCAGGTGCCTCACTCAGCGTCTGATTACATTTGATACATATTTGGTTTGGCTGTTCCTGCCATCCAATAGAAAAAGCATCTATCACTTGCTACATAAACAAAGAGAGAGCTTTTGATGATGATCAAACAGTCTGTCAGAATTATCAGTCTACATGGACCGGTTTATTATTGCCTTTTGAATTCCTAACTGAATTCCATCCTACATCACTGGATTCATGGAGAGGGAGCTCAGCAGGGGAAGTAGTGAGCACGTTCGCGCTAGAGGTTTGAACACATTCAGCACCACTCCAAGCACCACTCCACATTATCGCATTCAACATCAATATTTTCAAAGCTGAAGGCACAAGGAGTAGCCAATAGCCAGTTAGTTGAAGGAGCAAGCGGAGGCTAACATTGTCACAGACTCACAAAGTGGGGTTTGAATGTCCAAAAGAAAAAGCAGAGAAGAAACCGCACAAACATAAAAGTTACATGTACATACGGAATATACATATATAGTTGTGGCCACCTGTATGTCGCTTAAAATTTGCGAGGGGTCAGGGCAAATGAAACACACACGGAGCCTTGGGATTTAATGTAGGCCCTAAGGACCACCCCGTGAAAAATATGTGGAGCAACTATAGAACGCCTATTGCATGAGTGTGGAAATATCTCGGTATGAATGAAACGTTCAATTTAAACTGCCCAAGGGATTTACTAGAACTATCTGAGGGGGTCGGTGAGGCCATTTAAATAGGCAAGGCCATACAAAGGTTCTCAAGGTCTTACAGGCCCCCTTTCTCTAAGCAACAATGGAAAACAGTGAAATGACTTGAAGATTACATTCAGCAATATTCAACAACAACAACAACAACAACAACAACCACATTATATGACGCTGCACCAAATCGCGGAAGGGAATTAACTACATACTGTATCGCTTGTGATATTCGTCGCTAATCAAAAAAATAAGTTTTACCATCAAGGAAGGTGGAGATGGAAGGGGATGGGATTCAATAGAGAAATATAGGGCAACTAATATACCTACACCGCGCTCTGCTATAAAGGAAGCAATATGAAAGAGATGTTCACAAAGGCACTTGTCAGCTATGGATCACTGGCTCTATATACACCCCCCACCCTCCACATTCCAGACTGTACTGTGAGACCGCAAATCAAACTCGCTGTACGCTTCGCTGTGAACTTTCAGGTTCGACTTAGAGTCTCGCCTATGAGAAATGGTTAAGATCAACCTGGGCGCGCTTGCATACCTGGCTGTACTTACAACATCGACTATGGCCAGTCCTACTATTGACTATGTCAAGAGGGGTCGGGGAAAGTGTACAGAGGGCAAGGACTACTGCGGACTAAACCTGATAAACAATGGTACATTTAGAGCAGCTAGGCCGTTACTGTTCAGCATCGTCAATACTGATCTATAAACATAGGAATTTATCTGCTCCAAATTATTGATATTCTTAAGGAGCACGACTTGGAGAGGAGTGCTAACAATAAACTAAGCACTCTTTACAGGTGTGGTGCTAATGATAGACTTACGAATTACACGCAGTGTGGTAACCACTGCACTTCGCATCCGAATTTCCCCCACGAGGCCGATAATTGTTAGCAATGAAGTGAACTGCTTTGATCCCCTCATTGACAATATGTAACTCATAGAGCTATTTAAAGTTTGGAGAGCGTGTCAGATAGTGCTACAGTACTATTGGGATATACTCAGGACATTCAACTACTTAGAGTCTAGAGCTTTATTGTCGTTCAGGTAGCTAGAAATATTTTGTCGGGTTTGCTGACTTAAGGTGTATTCCTAATATACCATGTATATCCCGTGTACTCAGCCTCCACGCTCTAGCATACTTCAGTAGCCATAATCGGCATAAGAATATTAGACACATTGGGACAAGGGCTTAATTGAACTAGCAATGAAGGCACATCGTCAGACATTCCACGAACCCTTCTAAATCATGGTTCTTTTCGGGGCTTTACGCCTTTACGAAGATCAGGGTCTTGGATCGATAGGGGAGAAGTAATGGCCTACAGCGTAAATATAGGATAATTCAACACCGCAACACTTACAGTACTGAAAAGAAGAGTTGGGTGCTTAGCGAGGATACAAAGCACCCCAATTGTCATTATCTCTATAAATACGTAGATGACTTTTCAAGCCATCGCCCTATTAGCACGCCACAGTAAATACGGATAATGGCTGAAATAAGTCATATTTTAGTAAAGAGGCTGGTATACACCAGACCTGTAACTGAACTAACTGTCCTGTGTATATATCGGAAGGCCATATAACTATGCCATGGCTCAAGTAAATTCTGTCGTCCCTAGCCGCCTTGATTATCTACACCCCCCAGAGCTACTGTAGATCGTAAGATAGTTGTAAAGAGACCCGAACTCTCCTTCTGCCTTGCATAATAACCAAGTCTTACTTCAAACCCTAATCCGCTTCGCATTCGATTTGCATTAAACCTTATATCCCGACGATGTCCAATCGTAAGCCGCACATACAGCTACATATATATCTGAGTTCCAGGATTAGGGTTTGAAACTCGACTCGAATGTACAACGTATGGAAGGAAAGTTCGGTTGCGCTTGTATCTTTATATGTTATGGATCATGGGCAATTTGAATCATAGAAAAGAATTTGTATCTTGTCCCGAAAAGGTTACTGTATAACCCATAAATACAAAACTTAATACAAATCCCAAGCTATAGCCCAGACTACCTATTCGGTTACTGAAAAATTGAGGCAATACATACATACATCAATGAGGGTGATAGAGCCAGGATAATTCCTTTGTAATATACGCCCAGCCTACAATTTGACACGGTTCCTTCTAAGACTTGGGCAAACCAACCAACACACTCTGAATGGATAGACGATGATCCCGATCGAAAGCTCTGTCTGTCCTCTGTATACCAGATGTTGCTGGTGCAGTTAATGCGGCCCCCTCTAAAGCCCCCTTACTATTGCGCAGTGTTCCTCGCAGCTTGAGACGCACCAATCCACGTCCCTTTTCCCCCTTATGAAATGATGATCTTAACCTCCTTGCTTTGGTCAGGATAGCCAAAGACGACCGATATTTTTTGAATTCCTGCAAGTACTTCTGCTCAAGCTCTTGCCTCGTTAAAGTTTTATTGGCCTCCAGCCAATCTAAGAGGCCGTTTTCTTCTTCTCGTGTCCATCGACGAATCTTGGACGGTGGGAGACATCGATTGTAAGATGCCTCCAGGGTGGGTAGATAGGAGCTACCCGCCTGGGCCGCCTCAGGTAGCTCAAGGCCTCCGAGATGATTGCTGGGTATTTGATTTGATCCTTGAATAGTAACTTTCCGTGCTTCAGATTCAGGCTTTGCTTGTTCAATTTTGTCGTTCCCATATGACGCATCAGTGGAATGATGTGCGGCCACAGCTACCGTAACGGATGTTTGTGCATGCTCGGATTCATGAAGTACTGCCTCGAGTTTAATAAGTTTTCCATATATTTCCAGAAGAAGGTGACTACTCTGGCGGGCAACTGCGAATGAAATGTTAATAACAATTGAGACAAGGATCTTAAATCTAATGGATCTGCATCAACTAACCTTCCGTTGGTCCCATTAGGACTTGACTCTTCATGGATGAGCCTGTAAAAGTCGCCACAGTTGAATTTGGCCCTTTAGGTACAGCTATCACATCCGCGCACATTCCAACAAATATTCATATAGTGATTGATGGGGCTACTCTGTGCTCCAATTCTTCAGTTAGATAATCAAATATTTCTTTCACTCAGCAGCGGGCGAATAATGTCAGTAATGTCTTCTAGTAATTTCAGCCCCACTGAGAGGGCTAGCGTATCCTAGTGGTGTCTAAGCTGAGTAAGTGGTGGTGGGCGCGTTCAGGGTTACTAAAGAGCAGTTGATTTTCACTTTGACTTTTCACTTTTCAATACTGGAGAAGAGTAATTCTCAGGGAATATGTAAAGACTACAGAATAATTTTATCACTTTGTGGTGGAATATCTGAACTATAAGTTCTTGTGCTCTACATGTCCACTGTTAGGGGGAGCTAGTTGTGTGTCCATTTTGGGTTACTCAATTCTGTTTGCCCTTTGCCCCAGTTGCTAATAAAAATGCAGAAGTCCTCTTAATTTATTTTTAGGGTGTAATCAATAATTGTGATTTTATTATATCACAATTACTATAACATGCTGGACTTGAATTTAAAATAAGGAAGGAAAAGGCTCAACTCTGCTAAATAATGTGCCCGGGATAGCTTCCACATAACCATTTCCTGACAAAAATGTGATGGCTTTGTTTTTTGGCCTTATATTTGTCTAGAACAAGTTTCATAAGCCAGTGCTAATTTTTGATGTGGCTATTTAAGTGCTACTTTGATTGTTGAGCACAACGAATGCTGTTCAACGCTACATTATAATGCCTTAAGGTATGTTGTGCATTAGTTATACCTTTGAAGATATATGAGATGTCCAACATGATTTGCAATAGAAAATGACACGAACAAACTGTCTTCCACTAATCCAATAAAGTGCCATCACTTATGTGGTAACCTCTATGAATAGGGACCTATTGTATTCGCAGGTTCATACTAGAAGACTAAACTGAAAAAGGAAAGGATCACCACTAGTACAACCGGAGTGGGTCGAGGTGTGTTCAACGCACTCGGATGGATTGTTGTGGAATAATGAGTTAATTACACTGCGCTTCACTATTACACAAATCTTCTGCATCTATTGACCATTCACTTCTACTATGAAGAGATTATAAACTCTCTGTTGCATTGTATACTCCAAATCAGTGCGAGATCAAGTTTATCTTTCTATTATCTGCTATTTACCAATGACATTGGAGTTCGAATGTGTATCGGAGCCAGCGTCTCCCCTCCTCGAGCTACCATTCTGGTCCCCCTTTCTGAACAAGTTTTATCGCGGAATACCTCTTCTATAGACTGCGTCAACTGGGTGTAGGTAGCGTCTATAGTGTCCCTAGTGACTTCAACCTAGCTGCATTGGATTATATTAGACCTACTGGACTCCATTGGGTGGCAAACTCCAACGAGCCCAACGCCGGATACGCCGCAGATGGTTATTACGAATCAAGGGGCTAGGCATACTTATGACCACAGGCGGAGTGGGGGAATTACTGTATCAGCGCTTAATGCCATCGCAGGAGGGTATGCAGAGAAAGTACCCATCGTTCATATCGTCGGCTCACCACCAACAAATCTGCGGGATCAAAACATGATTCTGCATCTTTCCCTGGGTCACGGAAATCTCCGGCTTTACGCATCTATTTATCAAAAGTTTATCTGTGCCCAAGCCAACCTAAGAGACGCTGCATGTGCACTGATGCTGATCGACGAGACTTTACGCCAGTGTTTGTTATACAGCTAACCAGTGTATATAGAATTGCCTATCGATATGGTGAAGGTACAGCTGATTGCAAAAATGGTGCAAATGGGTATACTCTGGGGTTGTATCTCAAATTCCAATCCGAAATGCGCTAACTCTGTAAGATTATCCAGAAATGCTTGGCACCTGCTCTATATTGGGGGGAAATACACAAAATTAACTTACCTAATTAGGCAAGCCCCATTTACCCCGCTTTAAGGCCACTGCTAACGCTTTCTTCCAGCGCAAAGATGAACACGGCTTCTCCTGTTTCTATCCCAGCGAAATAACGTTGCTCTACCTATAAAGTATATAGGCCCGGTATTTATACTCGCCAAGCTATGGCAGAGGCCCTCGGAATCGCAAGCGGCATAGCTGGGATTATCTCCTTAGGCCTGGAGATAACACAAGGATTACTCCAGTACTATAGCTCATGGAGGAATCAGGATAAAGATATTAGAAGCATGTACAACTCTCTTAGCAACTTTTCAGAGTTGTTGGTCCAATTGTAGCACAAGATCCAGCCACCCGCTAAATTTGACATCGAAGTCAAGAGGAATGTGGAATGGGGTATAGAAGCCGCTCTTGATAACGTGAAACAGCTTGAGACTGAGCTGGGAAAAATAAAGGCAACTGATCCATTAGCACAACATGGAGTTCAAGCTACAATGCGACGCCATATACTCAGAATGAAATACCCATTCAAGGTTGAAGCTCTGCGCAACATCCAGACCAATATATCTGAATCACGCTCAAATCTTTCTTTCGCAATACAACTATTACATATGTATGTTCTGTTTGAAGTATACAGGCACAGACTTCTGCTAACTATTATTGTTTAGTGACAAAATTTCTGAAGCAGTGGAAAGGGTTGATTTAATTATACGGTGGAAGCAAGGTATATCTCTTAACAGCTTGATTGCAATGTAACTAACTTTCTCTCTACTTGTAGACAATGAAACCCGCGAGGTTATTGACTGGCTGTGTCCCGTGAACTTTTGGTTGAAACAGGCAGACGTACTGAAACAACGACAGCCTGGGACAGGAGATTGGCTACTATGTACAAGATTCTAGATTCCTTGATTGGGAAACAGGTAGTAGAGAAAGCCTTTGGTGTCGGGGCAGTCGTAAGTGCTACTGACATTGAAAAAGAAGCCAAATACTAATGTGCTCAGCTGGCGTTGGCAAGACTGTCTTATCATAAGCGCAAAAATTTTCCTCCATGTATTAGGTGTACCTAAAAAAAAGCTAAGAACTACTATAGATCCGTTGTTATTGACTTCCTCGACACTGATTTACCTGCCCCAGATATCAGCTTGGCGTTTATATATTGCAATTACAAGTTGAGCCAAGTACAAAATCTGGAGTATCTTTATCGTGCTATTGCTCGACAGCTGGTCGAGCTAAAGCAAGCGGTTCCAGAAAGTGTGACTGAATTATACCAAAGACATCGTAGGAAGGGAACAGCCCCAACAGAGGAAGAATGCCTGGAGTTAATTCAGTCATTAACTAAAGACTCGGCGGGAACATATATTGTCATCGATGCCTTGGACGAGTGTGTCGATGAAAATGATAGACCTTACTATAAATCATTGTATAGATCATACAGGACCAATTCAGGACCCAACTAACAGCCAAAATGTATTGATGTCTGTAAAGGACCTGCGGCGAAGAGTTAGGAGCAAAATAACATGCAATTAAAGTATAAACCCATACTCTCCACCGAAAACATCATACAACCCTATTCTGTCAGGCTAAACAGTTTGTAGATCAGCCACTGCTTCTCGGAAACGGGAGCGTGCATCTTAACGGGGTTACCGAAGATCTGTAAAATCCCGGGAATGCATTGGGACTGCTGAAGTTCCTCTATTTTATTTTCTAGTCCTACACTTTGGCGGTATGCAGCATGTATTTACGGACCACATGACGCCTGACAAAATGCCGAGAAGTGTTGCGATAATTGTCATAAGTAACATTCGCCACCCTATAATTACCTCAACTCCAGTTGCTGGTGACACTGAGTTTAAGCTGCTGGCAAGGTATCTATTTGCGAAAATAGCGGTAAGGGATGCTGCGAAGCTGAAAACTGCCGCTATCTACCAATTTGAGTATGACTGTGCGAGCTGTAGTGATAGGGGATCTCACCATGGCGCACATACTAGTAAGCACACTGCCCCACCGAGCAAAAGCAGCTGTGGCCCCAGTAAGGAGCACAAGCCCCGTCGAACAGGCCGATACAACATAAGCCGATACAGCCCACCGTATGCAATTGCGATAGTAATACACTGCGTCTTGCACCGTTTGAGGCAACTTGGATGCCACATTCCGCGCCTCAAAAATATAGGGGAAGTCAAATGAAAAAGACCAGCTTGGCGTAGAACATTGCGTGAGACTCATAGAACCGTGGTTATAGCTGTGTTTGCAATAACTAAGTATTCCAATTAGATATATCTCCAAAAGGGCAGCTTCACTTGTGACCGCTGCAAAACCTGCATTCTTGTCGGCAATGGGATCAGAACGCATTGCTGCGTCTGGATATGTGTTCTTTGTGAGGGTGGTAACCGGCTTGATGAAGTTAGTACCTTCACTGCTTGCTGTACTCTTCTCCCTTCGTTTAGAGCTTGTTATATCTCTATGGATATTAAAGAGTTTGGATGTTCCGCTGGAAGACGGTTTCGAATGATCAGTACCTGTCTCTAACCTTTTCGTGTTGTGAGCAGGTATTGTTGTCAAATCAAGCTAGCTTCCTCTTTAGCACCGGCTTGGGCAAAAGTTTCTGGAATTGTTACCTTTAAAAGATATATCTCTAAAGATAGAACTGAACGAGAGGTACACCCTATTCCGATGAAGACTATCAGGATAAGGGAGGCTAAAGATAGCAGATATGGCACAATTATACAAAAATGCTTGGGTTTTTTCATGTGAAGCAAGAAGCAGGATTTTGGGACAGGGCTGCAGAAGCAAAATTTTCAAGGTTGATAAGGTAGCCGTTCCCTGTTGGGACTGTTAATTGGACTCCTTTCCCCCTTGATAGATTTTAGAAGTGAAAACAACATGAGAGGATATATCCCCGCCTGTAGCAGCTGGCTTAAGCTGTTTCTGAAGGAGTGTGTATTACTTTCTACTTATATAAACACTTAATGGCAGGCTTAAGAGTAGTAGATAAATAGATATAATATTAACAACTTTTCTATGCCCCTAACATATAGGGGTGTACAAAGCTATATATTAAGGGGCTAACATAAACTAACCTCGTTCCACCCAGTCCATGATGCCTAAGTACAACTGCATAAATTTTATGGAGGTGAACCTGCGGATTTTTAGACTCGAAGTTATATAGCAGGAGAAAGAAACTACTCAATTCATACTCGACACCCTCAATATTAGTAGCAGGGAAAAGAGGATCCAGAGCCCATTGTGTACGGGGAAACGGGGAATATTATAGTTGCTTGATACTGTAAGGCCGTAGAAAAACTACTAGGTAGTGAGAAAGGTCAACTGTGGGGTGTCTAAAGCAAAAGTGGGGTGCTACCTAGACCTTAGACAGCTTCTCTTCTGATATATGTCGTCCATGAGACGAAACCCGACACATCATGTACTACTAGTCAATTATCAATTACTTAGGTATTATTCACACTCTGCCTAATATAATTTACATTCCCTAGGCCCTTATCACCTTTTAGTAGTTTTGGTAAGTTCCCCCTTCTCTACTTCCTCCCTTTGAGGTCGAGATTTCGAGAATAGTTTCATTTAGGGGCGGAAACGACCAAGGTTATTGTCAGATATTCGGTCAGTCCCGAATATCAGATAAGAAATGATTCATAGAATGTCTCAAAATGATCAAGTCTAGAGCCTTTTGGGCTCTTCCTCATGATAATGATTATCCTGATGATATCTATGAGTCCTTGTATGATTCTTGACTTGCTTGTGTTCATAAAATGCGAATGGCCTCGTTTTTACCCCACTTTAGTCACATGACTCTGGTCACGTACAGCCATTTTATCTGACAATAACTGGCCCATGTGGGGCACGCTAGTGTTAATGAGGAGGTTGGGAAAAGACAAGAGGGAAGAAGCGTGATCTGCATCGCTAGTTCAACACGCCACATTGTTGTACTGGCAGTGGACAGATACTTGGACATGCGCCTAAATTCAGATGGAAAAATAGAAATGAAGGAACCCAGGAAGGCAAAAAAAGAGCATGGCTTCCTGTTGAACATCACCGCACAATGTATGGCCGGCTTTTTGTGGCTCCTGCCCCATGGTTTGCGGTGGGCCTTTCCATTTAATTTTAAATTTTTAATTCAATTTCACTTTAGTTTCTTTGTTTGCTTTTATTTTGATTCTTTTTTTTTTTAAAGAAAAATTATTTCTTTTTTCTTTCAACAAAAATAGTGTCATTTGTGGAGTCAGAATGACTAGACCCGCGCGAGTCTTTTCAACGCAGCTGCTGAATGATGTCCATCGTTCGAACATGTTCAGCGGTTCGAGACCTGAATCTCAATTCAACACTGAAGAGAGCAGAGAGTCAGATCATACTGCATATTCTAACACCGCCATCGAACAATATATTGGACAGGACACACAGAATCTTGGATGCTGTTGAACGCTGCCCACAAAAGTGTCGGGTGCAAATGTGCCGCTCTGGGCACCTTGTTCTGCTGTTAAAAAAGCCTTCCAGTACAGTTGATGCCTATGTCTTTCCATACTTTTTCCTCTCAATCATCATCTGGACCCGTGCTCCTCTAGCCCTTGGACTATACTCTAATTCATTGATTTGTTTGTTCAAATGCTCAAACGAGGTCTGCGTACTTTTCATACACTTGCTGGGTTATTCCTCACTTGGTGGTTACTTTCACCTTTTCCTGGAGATTATATCGTGTTCAGCAGCCAGGAATTCTAGAAAGTATTCTGTGTTTTACTTCTGTTACGGATGGAAGGAGCTGATTTTAAGGGATTGCATGCTGGCTTCTACAAAACGCCGGTTTTAAACCAAACGTTTTGCACAGTGAGCTTGGGGTAGGTAAATTTGCCAAAAGCTATACTCCTAGTAATGAACACTAGTAAATGCGAGGAAATGGCGTTTTAATTGGCAAAGAAGTTTTTGGAAACATGAATGAAGAGCCTGCAATGGGGCTCGAGTCCCAAATCTCATCATCAGTCCATTCAAGCTTTGAGATACATAGAAGCGTCCGCAAGGCCATCGAAAGTAGTCCTTGATTAATCATGAAGTGGCATGCTGTATATAGACATACAAGGATAGGTATAGTTGTGGAAGGTGTTGTTAATAAACTACCCTACGCTAGACTTGGTGCGGATCTGTATTTAGTCTATTGGTTAAGTTAACTGAAGGCAAGGGTTCAAGGCAAATTTAAATCATTATTTCTGTACCCTTATTAATAAGCAATAAGCAATAACTAGTTATAAGAAATAAGGCTCTAATGTAATTAGAAAAGATATATGAGCTTATAAGGGACCCCACATCTCATCGGCTGATTCACAACTGTAGTGTGACAAATTCTCTGGTGTTTGCGCTGTTTGTACATAGCTGGCTATTTCCCCTCACATGTCTTGCACCCTCACAACACTTCCTTCTCTTCCCCCTCACGCTTGAAATTCTAGATAAGATAGCTCCAATATCATCACATTGCTTGGCTATCACACCTAGGATATTGGTCGCGACTTGCTTAAGCAGTTATGGGATGCTTGATCTGTTGGTAAACGTTTATTGCTATAGAATTCAAAAATCTGTTTCCTAAACACACACATGTTCTTTTAGGGTACCAACTTACCAAGGCTATGGCTAATACAGTATTGCAAATAAAGTGGGGTTGTCTGAACTAGGTAACTTGCGTACAGTATCACTTTGGGACTGAAATATACGTTGACTAGCTGGATGGATTGTTCTGATATCAACATTGACTTGCTCAACTACAAATTAGAAGTACATGATTCCGGATTGTGGCCTTGAATCGTGGGAGGAAAATTGTCAAACAACAATTTGTTTGGTAACATTTGATCTAGGAAATGATCAGAATTGGCCTAGAGGGGATCAGGAGAATGTCCAACAAATTCTCATAAACTAAATGTACAGCCACAATAGAGATGTGCTAGGGCTACAACGTCCCGTCTGGCATAACTGACTCTGTACCCTCTGCATTCAACTTCTGGCTAGAACCTGGGAGTAGCTAGAGAGGTGGCTTTTAATGCATGCCATCCTTATTTAAATCGGTACTTTACAGGCACACAGCAGTGTAGAATGCCTGATGATATTTTGTAAACACAAAGTGAAAGTTCACTACAGACATGATGAGTTCTGAGCAGAAGCATTTTGCTCCTTCCAAAGGTGTCGAGTCGGGGGTCGAACCAGAGCTGAGAGACACATCTAGACAACTCTATCTCGCTATACGAATCACGCTTATTGTTGGGTTGAGCTTGAGTACAGCTTGTCTAATCATTCGGTTATTGACCAGGCAACGGATTTATCCTAAATTCACTGCAGAAGACCGTGAGTCCTTTGCGACATCCTATATACCATTTCTATGACCTGGTAGTACCGAATTACACAGGATCCAAGCATTAAGGTACCAGAAGGAATGCAATCAGTGCAATTTTGCTAATCATATTCCGGCCAGTGTGCCTTACCACAGCTTGGGTATGCGATCCCCCAGTCAGCATAATGCGGTTGCGTTGACAGAATAACAGGGCTTTTGTGTGGGTACGCAGATAGTGATTCTCTGTATGTATATCCTTTATTTTAGTCTGGTTGTTGGCTGAAAGATATCGTTTTAGATGCTCTCGATCGTGCGGGCCTGGGGATTCATATAGAATATCTCGCACCGAACATCATCAGCACGTATGAGAAGGTACTTTCAAATCGGATTTGCAACGCTGTCTGAGCTGATTTTCAAAATAAATAGCTCTTTCTTGCAGCAGCATGCTTATTTATTACTGGCATATGCCTAGCAAGGGTAACCCATTTGATTTTATTCCATCGTTTGATGGTAGCGAAAAGATGGTTACGTTGCACCTTATATGTGGTGGCAGGGTTCATCACTGCTGGGTCGTTAATCCTGACTTGCTGCTTCGTATTCGCTTGTCAGCCAATCTCAAAGTCCTGGAATGTCCTACTGGCAGGCAAGTGTATAAATCGACCGGCTATTCTTATTGCGGTTGCTGTGCTCAATATCATTTCCGATATTTGCTTAATCCTGTTACCCATCCCAGTTATCCATGACTTACAGGTGCCAAGATCTCAAAAGATAAGGTCTGTATTTATATTGGTCTTGGTCTGCATGTGAGTTTTTGAAACGATTATGTCTTCCATCTTGTCACCTTCTCTGTTGTTACTTACTCTGGGATAGCACATTTGTCGCCAGCGCAATCCGTCTAAAATTCACTATTCCTCTCCTGAGCTCTACAGATTTAACATATTGCATTGCACCTGTTGCATTATTAGTGTATGTGCATATGAGCTCTTGTTCGTTATTTCTCAAGTCTTTTCTGATCGCAGGATATCAGTGGCGTTGAAGCCAATTTGGTCATCATTGCTGCTACTTTACCAGCACTGAGACAATGTTTACATCTGCTTGTATCTAATATCAATCCTAAGGGACTTGAATTACGGAAAAGAGTTAGCCATATGTGTGCGCGGACACTCAATGTAGAAGAAAGAGGCTTTTGGCAGGCCCCAGATATCATGGTCGGCCCAACCCCACCTTTGCCTGTTGCTTTGTTGATACGGAGGTCCTTAACCCCGACTAGGTGAACGCGAATTTTAATTGTGTATTTAGTCTTTAAAAAGAGAATTGTACAGAAAAATATCGCATTCTGTTGTTTGCGGGAGGCAAGTGTAAAACTGGCGACTCATTACTACGCATAATTGCGACCGTTCCATTGCCTTTATGGGAAGTATCTACCCGAAGATTACACCCAGTAGCATAATCCATAGCGAGTAACAACTGAAACTGAACCACCATTTAAAACCAGCTCGACACATCTACATGATTGATAGTACCAGACGCTATGGAAAATATATGATTTAAAACGGGGTATATACTTGTGGTATAATACCTTGAGACCTGATCAAAATCTGAAAATAATCGAGCTTCTAAGGGGCAGGTGAGGAGTCTACCGAGAAATGAGATCGGCCCGGGTCTCGTGGTTGCGAGCTCATGTTTTGGGGATATCCTATCCATATGATGCCTTTGCGCTTGTTACGACGCCGGCTCCATTCGAAAAGAAGCACAAATAAGCAGACAGCGGCCGAAACAACCCCGATAGCAATAAAAATACTTCTTCTCTTCATGCCAGAAGCGCCAGAAGATGTCTCCACGGAAGGACTACCAATAAAGGTATTGTCAGTTTGGATGCCGCTATGGCGTGCAACCGATACAGGCGAAACCCCGATGTGTGCAAAAGGAGTGGAATGAGGGGGTTTCCAATACGTCAACGCCGAGGCAGTTAAAATGAGGTTGGAAGACCCTGTTATAGGGTGGGACACAGCACTAACAATCATTTTCTCTGCAAAGCTGCATTTTGTAGCTTTCTGCAGAAGGGTATGGTTCCCCTCATTCTCAGGGATCCGGTGGGTTGAGCCCATTGGAGACATAATTGTACCTCTGCTTGTCGAGATGGAGTTTCCAAAGGAGCGACGTTTGGTAAGATTAGGCTGTGCAGCCAAGTTTCCGTCTTTTTCAGGTGATGTTGATGATTTCAAATCCAAATTTTGGGATAAGGTGACCATTTCTTGCATGTATTATGGGTACATGCTCTGGATGCTCTTCACAATTTTCCTCTCCAGGACAGTGCTCTCATCACGATGAAGGTTGTTAATAGCATATAGCGATTAACCAGTAGAGGCAGTAATAGCCACCGCAAATTTCGTCAATACTTCCGGGGTAGCCCACTCATCAAGACAGAAATCCCGCCCGGAGATGGGCTACCGGGTATATGGCTTAAGGAAAGCAGTGGAGCGATAATGGCAGTATTGCTCGTCCTCGAGAATCCTGGAAAAATACATAAATTCTTGAATGTAGCCCCAAAAGTGTGCTTTGAGGTCGGCAATTTTTGCCGTTATGTAGCTGAATACCCCTCGGCTTATAGATTTATGAAGGGCTGCAGATTCTCGAGGGCGATCTATTGTACTACTTAAGTCACTGGGACATAGCACCAGCAGTAGATATTCTAGGTTGGTGCGCTGTTGACTTCTAAGAGATTGTCATTTGTCTTCTCTTCCTAATCGAAAGGGATACTTTCAGCACTCAATCATCACTTCGTATAGCCACTTTCTGCGGCAAATGCTACATGCTAAGAAATGGCAATTTAGGGAGACTCAAGCATTGTCGTATCTCTAATTCCCCACCTTAGATGGAGATGTTGCAGCCATACAAAAAAAGTCCTGTGCGACTACCCTGATAATTGGAGACGGTAAAATCATGTATCTGTTGCTAGAAATACCCATACTACATAGAACAGAAGAGTCCGCAACGGCTGTGTCGTCTGAAGACCAAAATGAACTGTTGTTATGCTCAACTCGTATTTTGCTGTGGCGGCGACAGCATCTTAGAAATTGATTGCGGGTGATTGCCCTGAAATCCGTTCAGCACTTTCCAGTGTCTGACTGTTGCGGAGAAGATACCGCGCCTTTGCTATCTTTCTTGCCCCTCTAAAGATGACTGTATGTATTTTCATATCCGGCGAGCTCGCTAACGCCTGATAATTTTCAAACATGGTTCCTAATAACCATCGTGGAGATACTGTCCTACTAGCAATATCTGCGAAAAAAACGGCCATAGTGCATGATAGTGGAAAGTTCATATCATGGTAAAATTATGCTGCATCAAGAGATTTGGCTTGGTAGACCCACTCGTCTCCTTTATCTTTCTGTGCGCCCTGTCCTAATCTTGGAGGGGTGGACTCTATCTTTTCTAGGCCATCGATTTATTTGAGTGAAGACTTGTAGACGATGATATGATATGCGTCACTTTTCAGCATAACTACCGCGTAAGACAAGACCCGCCGAACTGGGCTCCAGTAGGTCCCATTTCGAGACCCGTTTCCTATTCTTACTTTTGGTATAGTGTGAGGAGATGCTTCCTTTTTCGCTGTGCCTACTGAAGCACTAAACAGCTGTTCTTGACGAACCCCACAGTTTTATTTGTATTTTGAATCTATGAGAAAATTCCATGCTTTTTTATAAGGGCTACAATTATGGAAGGGTATCAAAATGAAGCAAAACACATTGAATATATGACAATGTCTCCAACTTTAATAGACATGCTCCTCCCTAACACCTTGTTTTAAGCAGGTCTCTCACACAACTGATGCACTGGATATCCTATTTAAAAAGAATTAGCACTGCATCCCGGATGGTTAATCTAGCGCTCTGTGCCATACTAAAACTAAGTCAAGTCCATTGAAAGAAACTAGTATCGACATGTCAAACGACTATACACGGGACACGGAGATGCTAGTGAGGAGCATTGAAGAAAACGTTGACGAAGTGATTGATATCCAAACCACGGATTCAGAGTCAGAGTCGGAATATTCTGCCACAAAATCTGATATAGATTTTATAGATACACAGGATGATTTCATCGGAATGGAGGACCATGAGCAAAGTTATGTCCCTACCGATACTGACGAAATGTCCTCACTGATTTCCTCAGATGACGCCACAACTAGTCAACTGGTAAGTCTACACCTTTATTCCTTTATTCTATTCTCAGTCGCTCATAAACCCCAAGAATAGCATAGGAGATTATGGAGAGATCTCAGTTCTTGATGAGCGGGAAATCGAGGGAGAAGATGGGCCTGTGACGCTACTGTTAATCAACGGCTGGCTAGAAGAAAACATTGCCAACCAAGTAATAGATATAGTCCGCCTTTCCAATAGAGGCTATTAAGTGGGCTGTACTGGGCACCCGCCATTGGCCCAAGAGTTTCTGTGAGGGAACTGCACTACTACACTAGAAGCGCCAGTTAGAAGACAGCAGCCTATCTCGTCTTCTTTGGATGGATGACCTTAGCAGCCACTAAGCTAGCTTCTAGGGGTACTCCGATCTACACAAGCTAGAGACGGAGAGGGATACGGCTTTTATGTTTCTATTGCCTGATTTGTGTCTGCTGTAGCAACTGTTATATATATAGAGAACAGAGTACGATACTCCAGCCAAATTTTGATTTCTTTATTTTGTGTATGCACGGTTCTGTCTGGCACAGGGCCACAAGTGCTCGTCTCGATTTTATTCCTCATCCCTGAATGCGAGATTTATGGTAGAGAATCTATTGTATACGTAATGATACTAGTTATTGTAAGCAGTAGACCCGTTGCAATTATGTATATGGGTCTTTAAAGTCAAAGCAGTGCGGTGGAGGACTATGTGATTCTTGAATCTATAAGGACTCTTTAAGAACCCAATTTGTTTATAGGTATATGCGTGTGACAGGGATATAGTAATTGTTGTAACTACTGCTGGCATTGAATAGAACTGGTTGTTGAAATGCAGTCGTCCAGCGAAACATGACTACATATAAAATGAGAACATGCGTTTCCAATGACAGGAATCTCCCTGAAATTAGCTTTCCTCTCCCAGAATCATATCATCCACTGCTAGGTAGGTATGGGAAAACGGGCGGAGTGCATTGTCATTCATTAGTCCATGTAGTTGAGGCAACCGTCTTGTCACCCTGCTGGGTAAAATCAATCTTTACCTTGTCGGAAATTGTCCTCAAGTTAACTACCTGCATTGCCTTATAGGTGCGCATTGCAACATATAAGGTAACAACTGGCTGCACTTCATATGTTATACCGGGTTTGGCTGACCAGCAGACTGCGGCCTTGATAACCCCTGATGCGTCCTGAGGTGCCTTCCCATACCCACACCAGATATTAGCTGGTATTTAACAAATTGTAAGCAATAGCACAAGCACGTAAGCGTAAAATAATTCAGGATGGAGAATGCACTATTTAAAAAGAGTGAAGGTTGGGAGGAGGAAAACAAGTGAACTCTTACGATAATGAGCAGCATCATAGGACAGCACAACAATGTTGTGAACCGAAATGACCGCTAAAGCTCCACCATCAGCCGCCACCCTACTCCATTAAGAATAGCGCCTCGATTACTACTTTAGGCCATGATCATCATATATCATCATCCTGTATCATCATGATACCGCATGATTTAGTGATCGTCTCAAAGCCTACATATATCGCTCATTTTACCACTAGATCAGGAATTAGAACTCATCAATTCATCATTTGCAACCATTAGAATTCAGCGGCAGATTACTAGGCAATACGGAATCCCGCACTTCCAATAAATGTAATAGCTTCCAGTATTGGCACCTGAGGCTGTACCCGAAAAACTAGGGCCCCCATCAACTACCGTATCTACTCTATCTGAGGCCGTTCCTACAGCTAGACTCATTTGTGCTTTGTCAAAGCTAGTAACTACGGTATTTGGCTCGATGACCTAAAAGCCACAAAGAGCCTACGCATCATTTGTTACTTCTATCTCTCTGACCGAACCGTCTCCCTGGAGTGGTAGGGTTTGTGCAATCGCATTGCTGTATGGATTGGTATCTCACAAAAGAGATAGAAAATTAGTGGTTCCGGAAAGGTGGATTTTCCGTTGTTTGTAATATTCATGGAATAAGTTGCGGAGTGGTATGCAAGATGTAGGAGCATTATCTCGTGCAGCCAATCATTTGCGGTGCAGCCATGTCATATCTACCCTATTTGACTGGCCTCGCTTGTGTCCAAATGTGTTCCATTCCATTTGGCAACAAGTGTGTTTGTGCTTCCTGTGCATACATAACCCCTCACTGTTTTGTTGGTCTAACATGTGATCTGTAATCTACCTTATCACTCTATTATGCCGTAGACTCAAAAACGAGGGCCTCGTCATCTGCAACCATCTGTAGACAGGATTCTAACTCTTTTAAAAACATGATACGTTTGAATTAAAATTCATATTTGAAGGCAATTAGATAGCAATTCAATGTTTTCATATAGGTGCTTGTAGTACTGTATAGTCTTATTCAGAGCTTGTTTTAACCGGAGGCGCTCATCCACGGTTTTATGTACATAAACCGCATCCCTTAATTTCAAACCCGGGAATAACCAGAAGCAAGATACCTTGTAGAAATTAAAAAATATCAGTTGCCTGACACACATCTGCTCGTAGACGCAAACTTGACGAGAGAATGCAGCCTTGTCCTGACATGGTTGTGTACCAATGCAGATGCGACCAATAGCACAGCAGCAACAACTGACGGTCCGAGAGCATTCCCCAACACAAAGATTCCTATGAGAAAGAGGTCCATTGTATATATACCAACAAAGAGCTGATTTAGTGACTCCCAATACAACATGCCCGCGGTATCTTTTTCTGTTTCATGAACATAGATAGCCTGGTAGGAATGGACTACAAGAAAAACCCCAAAAACTACTGTCCCAATAAGTAATATTAGTGGAGATATGACAGAGAAGATGATGCCTAAGTGATGTATTGTTAGATCGGTGTAACCCTATAGGTGTTGAATCACATACATATACAGATAAGATTCGTAAAAACTGGGTAAAGCAGACTCCACCGGACTGTTCGTGGTGAGTTCTCTTTCCAACGCTGTTGCATACATGCCCATAGGCTGCCTGGTAACTGGAATAACACCATGACACTTTGTGTGATAGCTTGTAATAGGAGGTAAGAGTAAAAATAGTTACTTGCCTTTGGCAAATTTTTGGCCAACACCGAAGGCACTGATTGGATATCGTTGGCAATCTCGGGGATCATTGTGGTCACGCTCGAAGATATCGATACTACTAGAAAGAGTTGAGTAAAAAGGAAAATAAAGTAATGCCTCTGAAGAAAGATTTCGACAGACAGATGTTCAAAGACAAGATAATATTTCGTCACAAATTGAAGAATTACGGGAAAGCTGTACATGAGAATTGACGCTGCCACCTGAGGAGCCAACCCTTGAATTGCACCCAACTGGTAGACGGAGAGGCCGCTCAGGCTCGAGCTGATACAGTCCAAATACACCAACTGCGACAATAGTCCTGTTAGAGATATAGGAACTACCCAAAGTATAGCTAATATATTTAGAGATATCGCCATAGCAATATTCCACAGAGCTCTGAAATATCTGTTTTGGTAAATGACTGACTCTGAAGTCACCGTGTTGGCGTCGACTATATGGGCTTCTAGCTCCATGGGCGAGGACGACGCTCTTGCCTGTAACAGAAGGTGGGCTGTGAAGAGATCGGAGAAGTAAAATATTGCAATGCTCTTGATCCGTTCTATGTCCCTTCGTAAATTTCGGATTTGCCATCTAAGAATGCCTTCTCTTCTGAGTTGTCTGAAAAATCTTCCAATATCAGAGTGAAAGTATCCTGTATGAGACATATCTGAATCTATTTGCTTCAAACTGTCAAGGTCTCGATAGAGGTTTTTCAGTCCATTTTCCATACTTTGACAGGTTCCTGCCTTCGGAAGGATTATATCCACCGGTCCTCCGTTATAGGCCGAATATACTAGTCGCAAGTCTTCTACGTTCCACATCTGAGGTGGTATCTCCGTAACCAGGATTGTGGTCACTGCTCGAGCTTGGGAGAAACCATAAAGAAAATCCTGCCTTATTTTAACGACTCTCTTAAATTCGAAAATCAGAAGGCGCCACAAGTAGATATGAACAAGTGACGAGACGAAGGCTGTAATCCACCATCTTGTATGTTGTCCTCGTTGGATGTTTGATATGCTGAACCTGTCGAGGCCTCCAATCCTTGCGCTACTGGCTGTGTAGTTGACAGGAAGCAGCACTGGCAGGATTATAGCAGTCATGGGCGTGAAAGCTTTGATAGCCAACTCCAGGAGCCGCAAGAAGAAGTAGCAGTCCAATCCAAGTTTCTTGATTAGCTTTGTATCATCTTTAAGGAGCTCCCAGATGTGCTTGATCCAGAGGACTCTGCCCTTAGGCAATGGCAGAATGTCGATATCCACCAAACATCGTGGTTGGCTATTTCATATATCTGATCAGCGGCTAATAATACCGATAGAGCGGACACACGTACAAGACTTTGTGGTTAATGTCTTTCAAAATGGTAAATAAATACGTTGCCGGTAGGAAGATGCTGCCATATACCGCTAAAGAGATCAAAAAAGACAGAGCAGAAAGACCTTCGTTCTTTTGAGCCTTCCCGGCTGCGTCGTTGACAGTCTTATTCAAGGTTGAGATATCCATTCTAATTATGGGTACCAAAGCAAGCTATGTATGAGCCAACAACGGCCTATTTGACCATAACTAGAATGGGTTTTTGGGTATCTCGGTTGTTTTTTTCTCATCCTCTGTTAGTTGAAGGGGCCAACAAATGAGGGTGGGTAGTATCAAATTATTCACCAGCTTGGTATAAAACCCTCTTTTTCTTTTCTAATGGATGCTGCAAGAGGGAGAGGACCCGAAAGCAACGTAGAAGCATATTTTTGATACATCCAATTTGAGGTTGAGTCTCCAAATGTTATAGTTCTCTATTCTAAAGGCCACTGAAAAGCAAGTGCCTAGAACCGTTTCATGTGGATGTAGAAGATATATAACCCTCAAGCCCTCTATAGCTAATTTCTTACGGTGACAACATAATAATGCTGAGGATTCTGGGATACCTGCTTGTTTCTTTATTTTTCATTAGTCTGGGTCAATGCTTCACTGTGGATTTGCACGGAGACATCGACTTAAATGGGATAATCCACCATACGACCCAAGACAATGTATTATCACGTGTCACGGTGGGCACCCATATCCAAACCAATGACGCTAGGCGCTCGGAGACCCTTACAGCAAACGGACCTACTCCAGTTCCCTCGACCGATAGCAGTGTAATGATATTAAGTTCAGGAATTCCAGGGACCTGGGCAACTTCCAGAGCTCCTAATTCCATTAATGTCTCTACAGATGTCGGCGGTTACCATTTATCTGGACACCGGCCTACCCCTTCACTTGGATGGAAGAATGCATCATCTTGCTGTAATACCGCGGTATACCGCAGACCTCCCTTGCCCACTTTCCACACAAGTAGGCAAGGGGGTGGCATATATGAGATACACCATACTTCGACCAGCGCTGCCAAGCCAAAGGAGAGCATATCCGGAGCGTTAGGCACAGAAAATCTAAATACCACGGCGCTAGCATCTAATGCAGAGGTTCAAAAGGCGGAAATGATGCTGGCGATAACTCTAGCATCTATGATAGGCTTTTTGCACCTAGAGTTCCACTGATCAAGTGTTTCCTTACATCCAAATATAGTACAGTACAATGTGTGACCCTATAAAAAGACACTGATAGTTTACCGACTTATGAAGTGCCTCAACATACAGAATGTATCTTACTTTAAAACAAGCAACCAGAAGACTCTCATTCCAATAATACAGTAGCATTAGATTGGCACTGCTTCCTAGCCGCAAAATGATACTGCCTACAGTACAAATGCGTAAGAATGTCTAGTCTAGTTCTATGCAAACCCAACTAGTTTGCGTAGTTACATAACAAGCATGTTATGACTGCACATTAATGTACACTAGTTACCTTATTTTCTTTCTACCTTCAGTATTTTAACCTTCAGTAAGTGAGTAGAAATGCTGCTTGCTAAAGTAGAACGACTGGTCAGTTCGGTGCCCTACGTACAGGCTGATCGAAAACCGGGTACCAGCCCCCATTACCTTGAATTGTGACCCGAAATGCTAACATATAACGTCCCACACTTGGGAGGCTACGGTATACTCTTGGCGTGGAGCTTGAGAGTGGAAAAATCAAACTTTACCGGTAAGGGGTGACAAAGCTTCGGACTCTCAGTGTACAGGCAGCACCAAAACCTTTGTCATTTTCTCACATTCCATTTTTTCCAGAACCCTTGTGCCAGACTGTCGCCTCTTAAGAGGTGGACTTTACTCTAGTCTGAGTCATCTAATTATATCGTGGATTAGTTAGCTATGAATCCACCCCTTACCGGTAAAGTTTGATTTTTCCACTCTCAAGCTCCATGCCAAGAGTATACCTACCGTAGCCTCCCATGCTATACTCCAAGAGTAAACTCGAAATTCTATATTAATATAGCGTATGGCACAGTAGATGGTATAGACTGTCACATGACGAAGGGCGTCATAAATTATAGCTTTAGTATACAAGTAGCTTTTGATGCCACGTTACCAGTCTTCTGAACCCATGAAAACATGAGTCAAAATTTTTGCAGCCACTAATATATATATCTGCAGATGCTACAGACAATAGTACATATTCGATCCCAAGCGACCTATCGGGTTAATCCAGGGGAAAGTGGAGTGCGCGGACAGATCTCTCGTGAGTCTCAAATTCAATGACATATTCCGAAATGAGGGACATGGGCAAAGACTGGCAGAGGGTGTCAAGGCAGAGAGGGGAAACATGCTAGTGATAGGTACGCAGAAATAGTTAATTCGCAGCAACTTCTCTGACTCCAGATAGTTTCTGCTTCTGACTATTGGTGAATGGAATAATCGGATTTACTATTACTACCTGTCACATTCATTCTACGAATAAGGCCAGAACACAGCATGTCATAACTCACCACACAAAGACACCAATCTCCCATCAGAACTCCCCTTAAATCCGACATAACATGGCCGTTCCACGGCTAGTTCCACTTGCGGTTTTAGCCCATGCCACCAGACACCTGTATCGAGACGCGAGTTAGCATTTCTCATGTAAAATTCGAGCTGATTCTGTAAGATTCTCACACTTCTTGTATATATAGTCTGCATTCTATAGGTCTGTTTGCCTAGGAGTTCAGGATTGAGTAACTACATCAATCTTTAATCTAATATAACTATAGAAAAATATCAGTGAGCCGTTAAGCTAAGATATGTGTGCGGATTTTCCCGGTCTAGCAAAGCAGTACATATCCTTATTATCTCGTAATTGGTCGAGTTATTCTAGTTTCATCGTCGATTATAACACGCTGAGAACGTACTTCTTTGCTTTCTATTGAAAGAATTCACTAGGTAACACAAATATTTGGATGTTCGTCTTCTGGTTTGAGCTCATGAAATCCATGAGGCCTCGTTGGCAATTACTGCATGTACAGTCGAAGTGCTGTGAAGGGTCACGTCCCGGTTGTCTGTCTCGCTATGTCCAGAACCTAGGTACACACACACACAATTTATTAACGCCCGGCGGCTAAGCCGAAAGGGCAACTATCGCTAATATACTAATACATGCCCTAATATATACCGTGTCTCCTTAGAGCCCATACACAGTTGCTTTTAGTATATGTCGTCTCATTTGTCCGCATCGTAGGGAGGGGGAGGAGATTCTCGTGGGTTAGTAATTTTGTTAGTAGACTGGCTTGAAGGCGCTTCTTCAAGTGTTCAACATCCTATCTTCAGCAGCTGAAGCGCGTCTACCGTCTCTGGCACGAGGTGGTTAGTGTAAGTTTGTTCGGTTAGGAGGATTGGGTGACTGGTAATTATCTACATGGTTATGTGGCGTTGAGTCGGCCGGTGGTGATTGTAAACTGTATGGATGCCTGTACTGTTTTGAGGTTTAGGGCCCAGTTTTGATTATCTGATAATGATTTTCCTCCCAGAAAGAAGAATATGTTGCCTCTGTAGGTGCTGGTGCATTGTAGCATTTCTGTCCGATGTGCTGTCCACTTTCAACATTGAAAGAGGAAGTGCTCTACTGTCTCTCTTGCCTGTCCACATACACACTGATCTGTCTGCGCTGCATTGATTCAGTAGAGATACCCATTTAATCTTGCCGTGCCAGTTCGGAGTTGAGCCAATGCGCTCGCTTTGTTCCATGATAATCAGTTATATAGCTGTCGGGTGTATTTGCCTGGGAGTGCCACATCCACTCTTTTGGCATGTTTCCCAACTTTCTCTGGAAGGCCTTGGTTGGTGCTTACTTGGGACCGTGCAATATTGAGGGTGGTGGACTTCATTCTGGGGAGCTCTGTGTATGGAGTGGCGTTGTCTTGGGTCGCTTCCCTGGCCTGCTCTTTAGCCAGGCCTAACAGTTTATTATCCTCGCTTGTAGGGACATAACAGGTATGGATCCTATTTCCGTTCTTCTGTAGTCTCTTAATCAACTTGTATATTTGGCAAACATATTCCTGGCCTAACTGTTGTCGCGGACTACTCAGTGTAAGTGTAGCCGCTTTGTTGCTTGTTAGTAGCGTGATTCTGTACAGCTTCAGTACCAGTAGCATCCTCAATGCGTGTGCCATTACAGCCAGCTTTCCCGAGTATGGGTTCTGCTCTGATCTTGTGCCAAGTATAACAAAGAAAGACTTCAGTTTCAGCTTTTTATACTTGGGCGGCTGCTTCTGGACAACACTTCCAAATCCTATCACCCTATTCTGTGCTGAGCTGCTCACTGCAATCTGTATTGATCCACCGGTTTCTGTCTGTGTCTCTAGGGGCTCCCCACTATCAGCCTGCACTTGCTCCTCCCATGGTGCTAGTGTAAATGGGTTAATAGTTTCCAGTATTTCCATTTCTATGTCCTTCAGCGTGTCTGCCACCTGATATAGCGGAGAGCGGTGGTATCTTCTGAATTTCCTGATACAGGCCGTATTCCTGCGGAGTGGGTTAGTTTCTGGTAGGGTATGGATGTCTGTCTACATCTTCGCTGCCCGTTTCCAGAACCGGCTTTATGCGGTGGTAATGTGAGCCTTGGCTTCTACCACACTTGTTGCAACTGTGAGGAAGGTTCCTATAATCGCTTGAGCTCCAACTCTTTAGACCCGGTTGATGGGCCCCATGACCTTATCTTTAAAAGCATGCATCCAAACATTAGAGACATAGTCTACTACTGGGATAACCGTTGATGTGAATAGCTGCCGCGCTCAAGTACTGATTTGAATTCCTAAGCTAAGAAAGCCTGAAAATATATTGTAGAGATAGCAGCATGTCTACCTATATAGATTCTCCACCTTGCGTTCCCTCTAATCCTATTCCGCATCCTTCGCGGGGCACAGACGGTTCCGCAAGTCAATACCAGTTTGCACCTTAAGCCTCCTTCAATAGCCGCCCTGAAGACTCCATCCTCAATAGCCATCTTCGGAATCCTATTCTCTCAGTAGACCGACACGCGCGTCCGTCCTCTCGAGCCATATAGAAAGTGTCGTATCTGCAGTCCGCCTACCTAGTCTTCCGTTGCTTCCATTATATGCTGCGCCCCGCAGATTGTTAAATCCGTTTCACGCTACCTTGAAAGATCTCTCTGACAAGGCCGACCGTGTCTCGCAGGAGTTCGCCCAGTTGTATCCTCTCTGTACCCAGAACAGCCAAGCAACACAGTGTTGTCCCTCCTACTAACCAAAGTATCTCGTCGTTCTCTGTGTGGATTCAAGCATGCTGGAACCTGCTATTTCGTTCGTGTTTTGTTTTTGACTTAGTCGTTTCTGTATTCTCTGACCCAGCGATATCCTCCTTTCAACAGAGCAGCCCGAGAGCACCCCTAGTATCCACTGATTGTAGGATCGGTTTCGCAGTCGTGTGTCGGGTGGTTTTCAAATTGTTCCCTTGTCGCCTGTGCGTGGGGTCAGGGGGCCCTGACCCCTGAGCTCTCGCTCTAGCAGTAGCCCTAGCCAACGGACAGTGTTGGCTGGGGTGACTCTTCTCAGCTCTGCTAATGCCATCGGGCAAGGCATTCGCAGGTTCTCAGCCGGCACCACGGGGAGGTGAGAGTCGTCGCCGGCCACCTAGGTACAGTGACATTCGGATTTGGCTTCCGCCTCAAACACTCATCAATTGCTTTGCAGCCCCACTTCCCGAACTTTAGTGCCTTGGCAGTCCCAGCTGTGTTTTGAACGTTACCAGCGCTGTTTAATTCTGGAACTTTCGATTGTTTACAATTACATCGCATTACAGGCAGCCAATTCACATCACAATATCTCCTGCAGAACTCACTCCTGTCCTCGCTTCCTCTTCCGCAATCTGGCTTGCAAATAAGCTGTTCATGTGTTCCAAATGGCCCCGAATCTAGCGGCATCTCAGCATGAGCTCATTCGCGACATGATCTTAAGCAAGTCATTGACTACTGCTCAAATGGCTGATGTAGCTTGGCTGCAGTGAGCGCAGCATTCGATACATTCATTCTAACCTGCGGTATTTCGGCAGTGTCAAGGCACCTCCAAACAAGGCCGGACGACCACGAACAGTGACCCCACCTATGCTGGACGCGCTTCGTGAGCATCTACTTGCAAAACCGGTTCTGTACCTAGATGAAATGGCGGTTTTCCTGTGGGATGAGTTCGATACTTTAGTGACAACCGCCAGTATTAGGAGGGCACTTGTATCAGTAGGATGGTCTAAAAAAGCAGCTCGTCGGATTACCCAAGAGCGTAATGCAGATTTGCGGGACTACTATCTCTATAACCTGTCCGATTTTCGTCCGTATCACCTTGTTTATATCGATGAGTCGGGATGTGACAAGCGGATTGGATTTTAGGCGCACGGCTTGGTCCCCTGTTGGAGCGACACCAGTGCAGATATCTCGGTTTCATCGCGAACAACGATATCAAATACTGCCTGCATATGCACAAGACGGTGTTGTTCTTGCGCGTGTCTTCCAGGGGTCCACTGATGCATCTATGTTTGAAGATCTTGTGGAACAGCTGCTTCGATCACTGCGAGAGGTGGCCGGAGCCTAAATCTGTGCTGATAATGGACAATGCGTCGTTTCATCATTCTGAGCGCTTGGAACAGATGTGCAGCGATGCTGGGGTGAAGTTGATGTACCTGCCCCCATACTCAGCGGATCTCAATCCCATTGAAGAGATGTTTGCCGAGTTAAAAGCCTTCATTAAGCGCAACTGGAAGGTATATGAAGAGGACCAAGAGCAAGGATTTGACGTATTCTTAGAATGGTGCATTGACATTGTGGACACAAGAAAGCAGAGCGCAGAGGGTCATTTCGTCATGCTGGAATTACTCTTGAAGATATATAGTTTCCCACAAGCAAACAATTGACACTGCCTCTGTGGTTGACAGGTTCGGACTAAGCGACCAACGCCCCGATTTGTTGATACCTAAATTTTCCTGACTAATCGTAGTAACCTCTGCCGTAACCTGGACGTCGGAGGCATTTATTCCGATTCCGAAAAGGGCACAGAGCAGGTATGCCCTCTCAAAACAATTATATGGCACCTTAGCCTCTAATTCTATTTTTGAGACACTATAACTAGGCACTATAACTGACAACTTACCTATTTAGGCCTGTTGATGAAACCTTGGGAGGTTATCTTGAGAAACTGGGATAGTTGGTAGACTGTTGATACACATCAATTCTCTGTTTGCTTTTTACTTGTTTACATATTTTCAAGACCATGATTGGCTTTTGAACCGCGACAGCCTCATAGCAACACGTATCAGATGACCCCTCCACTCCAACCTCGAATTTGGACATGCCCTTAAAGAACTTTATTCTGCAATACCTATTGTAATAATGCTCTTTTTTCTCTAATCAAAAGGCTACCTGATCCCTTCTCATAAGCTTCACCTTTTTATTGTGTATGACATATAAAATGATTTTCACACGCGATGACTATACGGTCGCATGGATCTGCGCCTTGCCGCTGGAAATGGCGGCCGCAAAGGCCATGCTGGACGAGGTTCACCCTCCGCTCCCCCAGCCAGAAACTGACCACAATGTCTATATACTTGGGAGTGTTAGCAGCCACAATGTAGTGGTGGCCCCCCTGCCATCCGGTGTGTACGGAACCATATCTGCTTCAACTGTGGTATCACACATGGTTTCTACCTATCCAAATATCCGATTTGGGTTGATGGTGGGTATTGGTGGCGGAGTCCCGAGCCAAAGTGCTGATATTCGCCTTGGTGACGTTGTAATCAGCAAGCCAACTGCCACTTCAAGTGGTGTTATCCAATATGACTATGGCAAGACACTTCGTGATGGACGATTCCAGCATACCGGGTCGCTTAATAAACCGCCTTCAGTGTTGTTGAAGGCTATATCTCAATTAGAGAGTGATTATATGACAGGGAAAAGGCCGGTTAGTAAGATCTTGAGTGATATACAGCATAAATTTGAAGAGATGAGAGAAAAATTTTCGCGACCGAAAGATGACTGGCTATTCCGATCAACATACAATCATGAGAATAGTGTACACAACTGTTCAGCATGTGATCTGACCCAGTTAGTGAACCGTCCCAGGCGGATAACTGAAGACCCTTACTTTCATTATGGCTTGATCGCTTCCGGAGATCAGGTCATGAAAGATGCCAAGACTCGAGATTCTATTGCTCAGGATCTAGACATACTCTGTTTTGAAATGGAGGCTGCTGGGCTCATGGACGAACTCCCATCACTTGCCATTCGAGGCATCTGTGACTACTGTGATTCCCACAAAAATAAACAGTGGCAAGGATATGCGGCCCTTGCTGCTGCTGCCTACGCAAAGGCTCTCCTGTCAGTGGTTCCCATTTACTGCGACAAGAAGAAATCACATAAATTAAGGGAATCAGTTTGGATGGTCCCCTTTAGAAGGAACCCGCTATTCGTAGATCGGGAGGAAGAAATTAGCAGAATTGAAGGATTAATCACGCAACAGGATGGACCTGGCAAAGTTGCTATCTGCGGACTAGGTGGAATTGGGAAGACTCAGATTGCACTTGAACTGGCATACCGCACACGAAATCGAGACCCTGAATGCTCGATTTTCTGGATCACATGTACCAGCTATGAGAGTGTGGAACAAGCCTACATAAATATCGCCTCAAAGCTAGGAATAGCTAACATAAACTTGACAGAGGCGAAAGAAAAAGTCAAGGCTTATCTCAGCCAGAAAAGTGCTGGGAGGTGGCTTCTTCTTTTCGATAATGCAGATGATATGAGGATGTGGAGCAAGGATAATCCTAGTACTCCAGTACTGACAGACTTTCTACCTCAATGTGAGCAGGGCCATATTATTTTTACCACACGCAGCCGGAAGGTAGCTGTGAAACTGGTGTCTTCTCATGTGATAACAATCTCTGAGCCGCATGCAGAGACTGCTGTCAAAATTTTACAAAACTCACTGATTGAAAAAACCTTACTTAATGATCATGATACAGCCATTACTCTTCTTGAGCAGCTGGCCTTTCTCCCGTTGGCGATCACCCAGGCAGCAGCGTATATCAATGAAAATAGCATTGACCTCGCTGACTATATTGTTCTTTTACAGGAGGAGGAGCCAGACGTGATTGAATTGCTGAGTGAAGACTTCGAGAATGAAAGCCGATACAAGGACACCCAGAATCCTGTTGCTTTGACCTGGTTTATCTCCTTTCGGCAGATTCAGCGATCAAATGAACTCGCGGCAGACTATCTATCATTCATGGCCTGTATCAATCCTCGCAATATTCCACAATCTTTACTTCCCCAGCCGAACTCGATTAAGAAAAAAATTGAAGCCATCGGCCTCCTCAAGGCGTTCTCCTTTGTTAGCGAGGGGGATGGGGACCGTTTTTTAAATCTCCACCAACTAGTCCATCTTGCAACTCGGAACTGGATAAGAAAGAGGCAACAGTTTAGCCTGCAAATATTGAAAACTGCAGACCGATTGAGCGAAGTTTTCCCGGACAATGACCACACCAATCGGAAGGTGTGGCGGGAATATCTACCTCATGCGTTTTCACTAATAGCAGAATCTGTGTTTCGAAAGGAACAGGAGAAATACATTAATTTTATTGTGAATATTGGGGGATGTCTGTATAGTGACGGCCGATGGAAGGAAGCGGAGGAGCTGCAGCTACAGGTGATGGAGCTCGACAAGCAAGTGCTGGGACCAGAGCATCCAGACACTCTGGCCAGCATGCACAACCTGGCATTAACATACCAG